AAATTACCCAATATGATACATACGTGAACTCCACAGCTAGTGAACTGTATATAAAAGAAGTCAGTAATTTGAGGGTTAAAAATACTGTCAGATCATAATGATACAGTTCACGAACGATTTACTAAAACATTGCTTGTTACATTATACCGGAGGTTCAACGGGATTCAAGCCATGTTTGATGCAGGTGACGGAGTATTGTGTGGTAGAATAGCATCCGTTAATTTTTCAATAACCAGGAAGACTTGCGAGTAAACAGGAAACCAGACTGCTGTCACTGGATCTAAACTCTTTGTTTTAACACTTTGGTATAATAATGAACGGGTATTGTGTGTATTGGTTAATGCACGGGGGAATGATGGAGTTTTAGCTTGCCTTATCTTTAAATAGGGGATGAAGTTTAAATATGTTAGCAACCTCTGCATTCAGAATATTTAAATTTATAACTTGCAGCTACAAAAGACTAAAAACACAAACTTCGGTAATATTTGTAAAGTTTATAAAGCAATAATAACGCGTTTTTTATGCTTATACCCACAACATATTTGATTACTGAATCATTTTACAAATTTTGCTGGTTTTCAAAGGTTAATCAGAAACAAGAATGTTACAAAAGTTACTAGTTAACTTTGTTTATTTGGCTGTATATAAAATAGCAAAAATTTGTAACAGCTGGATAGCTGGTAGTCAAAGAATGCACATTGGTATGCATGATAATAACAATGCTAGCCCACGAATCCGCACTATATCAACCATTAGCTAATTAATATCATTACTACGCCACGCCTAAGCCTTATCTGCTGATTTACTTGTCAATTAACTTTAAGAGGAGGGGACCTCGATGACATTAGTGAGAGTGACAACATCTATAGCACACCCACGGCCCCAAAGCACGGAGCGCGTTTTTGCAGCAATTTGTTGGAACCACAAATCCTCAGATTCACAGTCTAGATACGCTGTTAAGCCACACTCTACCTTTCTCTCCTGTCTATACATATTGGTTTATTTGTCAATTGCATTTAAGAAGGGGGGGGGGGTCTTGATGACGTAAGCGAATCTGAAAACATCTTTTGATTTTGGACCAGACCTTATTTGTAAGTACAAAATAAGAAATTCGGGAACAGCCAAACCACCATAGAACTTTGTAGATATATTGGAGTCTATAATAGAGTGAAAAATTGTCGTCACAAGGTTACATTAGTGGTAACAAATCAGCGGACCCGGACTGCGAATCATTGGGATCGTGGTTTGTAACTCACTGCAGCACTTTAGGGCCGTGGGTGTGCTATAAGTGTGACGGTCAAATCCCACTATCCAGTCAGACTAAGAGTAGCCTAAGAATTGGTAGTTAACTAAACCGCATTCCCTCTAATCTTTCAGTTTAAAATTTCGGAGTTTCACGCAGAGCTAAATAAGGGAAGGTAACTAGTCAACAGCACCCATCGCCAACTCTTTGAATATTCTTCGAATAGTAGTATTTGACTGTCACTCTTTTAGTGCATCCAGGATACAAAGCGTGGAGAATTTGTTTGCGACAGTGGGTCACGAGCCATAGATCCTTTCGTAGTAGTATCATGATGGGTTATTTCAAGAACCTGAAACGTAAGACTTTCTTAACATTTATATTTCTATCTAACGATAATTTTATAAATTATATGTCTAAACTAAGTATCTTGATTTTTGGTTACAACTGTACTAGTTAGCACTGTTGGTATTTATTTTATCCCGACTGTAAGTTCTACATAAATGTTTAGGTAACTTTTTTATATTAATTAAAATCGTTATTTATAATGCATGATGTCAATCACAAATGAATGAAACCCAAAACTAAACTCCTGGGAATGAAGTACAAGATTTTCATACGAGGTTGGGTGCTCGTGTTTTAACTGAATATTTTTGTTAAATAAAATTATCCCTGTGTTAATTATTTTCGGTTTCCTGAAAACATCTATTTTGAATTACAAATGATGTTATTCTTGGATTTTATCGCAAAGTTACACAATGGGCTATATACACTCTGTCCACTGTGGGGGATCGAACCGCTGGATTTTACAGCATGTCCCCCGGAGGGAGGTTACGAAGGAGAACACATTGAAGTTAAATTACTAATTATAATCTTATGTTTATGCTCGCACGAATCTTATTTGATAAGTATCATTTTCATTTTTAGATCATTATTTAAGTTTGTTTGTTGTTAAGCACAAAGCTACACAAAGGGCTATCTGTGCTCTACCCATCGCGGGTATCGAAACTCGATTTCAGCGCTTTAAGCTCTCAGACTTATCGCTCAGCCACCAGGAGTTATTATGTAAGTATGTTAGTGCCTGATAAATACATAAATATATTATATATATATATATATATATATATATA